AATGCCCTCAGTGGCCCCATTGCTGCCCTTCGTGGCCCCGTTGCTGCCCTCAGCGGCCCCCCATCGCTGCCCATTGTGGCCCCCTCGCTGCCCTTGGTGGCCCATGTGTACGCCCTCCGTGGCCCCCGGTCGCACGTGCCCCCAGTGGCCCCAATGTTGCCCTTCGTGGCCTATCGATGCTTTGGGCTATACGTGTTGAATGGCACACGAGCAGATAGAGCGAACAGTCTTAACACGAGTGTCGTTGTTGTTGTTGTTGTTGTTGTTGTTGTTGTTGTTGTTGTTGTTGTTGTTGTTGTTGTTGCTGCTGTTGTTGTTGTTGTTGTTGTTGTTGAAGATTATTACTTCTAAAGAATAATTATTGTTGGGACCCCTGGTGCGCGACCCCCCCGCCGCGCCTAGGCCGCAGCCTCATTTTCATCATTTTCGTGAGGAAGTCTCAGGCAAAACGGGTTGGTCCGGATCCGGTTGTGTTGTTACGATCGGTTTTCCCTTGCAAAAAATAAGCTAAAGTGGACATTTCTTGTTCTAACATAACCAAACTTCAAGAATCCCTTGCAAAAAATAAGGTAAAGTGGACATTCGCGCGCGCAAGACGAAATCCTTCCAAAACCTTAGTTTTCGTAGCGATTTTAACATAAAAACATCAAAAAACCAATGGTTTTTCAAAAAAAAATTGTCAAAATTTCATCCCGCGCGCTCTTGCGGATTCGTAGGAAACCCAACACTTTTTAAACATTTCTGTCAAACGGGCTTTTGCGAGCAACTTTTTCGAACTTCTGCAACAACGGGTGCGCACCTGCCAGGGCCATCATCCCTGTCAAATAATACCATGCGGGACACATTCGTTTTTTCTTCGCGCGCGCACGCCGTCGTCGTCGGCCGCGGGGCCCTGAATAGTAGCCACGGTCGTCCGCATGCCACGAAGTGAAGTGTCCGAACGTCATAGGGCGGGAAGCTGGGTGTGGGTGGTGGCGAAGAGTCGTTTGGAAATTTGGTAGAGCTTGAACCGGCCCCCCCACAAAGTGGGGGTATTGCCCGCCTCCTATGAAAACCCTGGCACTGGTGAGAACGGAGTGTCCCCACGTGCTAGTAATTGTTGTTGTTGTTGTTGTTGTTGTTGTTGTTGTTGTTGTTGTTGTTGTTGTTGTTGTTGTTGTTGTCGTCGTTGTCGTCGTCGTCGTCGTCGTCGTCGTCGTCGTCGTCGTTGTCGTTGTCGTTGTCTGTGTCGTTGTTGTTGTTGTTGTTGTTGTTGTTGTTATTGTTGTTGTTGTTGTTGTTGTTGTCGCTGTTGTCTTTTTGTTCGTGACGACACTAAGGAATCACGCTCTCGTGGTGGATTTCTGGACGATTCATTTGGGAGTCGCGCTATCGCTCGAGATTCTTCGCGATTCATGCAGGACGCACGCTTCAGCAACCCGCCTGCTCGACCTGGCCGCCTGGGCCCGCCCTCCGACCCGCCCGTTAGGGTCTACCCGCCAGATCTGCCCGTCTGGTTCTGCCATGTTTTTGCTCTCTCGAGCCCTCCTCCTGCTACCCTATCTCGTGCTCCATCCTCCCCCCCTTTGTCCCTTCCTTCCATCCGTCCTCTCTTCCCTTGCCTTAGGGGCTGCACGAAATATAAGTTGCAGGTGAGAGAGATATACTCCCCCAAAGGAGGTACGATCGAATACGAAGAGGGCGGGTATCGATGGTTTGGGATATACGTAATGAAGGGCACGCGAGCAGATAAGAGCAAACAGTCTCAACATGAATGTCGTTGTTATTATTTTTGCTGTAGTTGTCGTTGTTGGTGTTGTTGTTGTCGGTGTTGTTGTTGCTGATGTTGTTGTTGTCATTGTTTTTTGTCATTGTTGTTGTTGATGTTGAACTCTCTCTACTGAAGAATTCGTATTGTTGATCCCCCCTCCGGTGACCATTCCATTTTTTTTAAATTGAAGTGCTTTGTCAGGGGGCTCGCAGCCTTTTTTACATTCGGGAAGGCCATGGACTCAAACTTTTTTCTTGCCCCCCGGTCTACAACAACAGCGGTTCACGCCTGATATTTCTTCACAATTTCTTCCCACATCACGCTCTCGCGCGGGACGTCCTCTCAATCTGTATACGAGTTGCATCCTCGAGTGGGGTTGCCTCGCAATTTATTCACACGATGCGCCCTCGGCGCTCAGGAATCACGCTCTCCTTTCGGCTGTTCTCACGGTTTATTTGGGAGTCGCGCTATCGCTCGAGACTTCCTTTTGATTCATGCAGGACCCACGCTTCAGCAACCCGCCTCACGTCTGGTTGTACTACTTGTTTTCTGCTCCCTCCTGCTGATTTCTCTCGTGCTCCATTCTTCTCCTTCCCCCTTCCATCCGTCTTCTCCCTTGTTGTAGGGGCTTCATTCAATGCACGGGGCAGGTGAGGAATACATACCTCCAAGGGGGTACGATCGAAGGCGACGAGGGCGGGTATCGAGGGTTTGGGATATACGTATTGATTGGCACGTTAGCAGATAGGAGGGAACAATGTTATATTGATTGTTGTTGTTGTCATCGGTAGTGATGTTGTTTTTGTTGCTGTTGCTGTCGCTGTTTTTTCTGTGTTGTTGTTGAATATTATTCCTTCTAAAGAATTATTATTGTTGGGACCCCTGGTGCGCGACCTCTGCGCCGCGCCTAGGCCGCAGCTACATTTTCATCATTTTTTCGCGAAAGCTTCAGAAAAGTGGATTGTGTCCGGATCCGGTTGTTTTGTTGTAATCCGTTTTCCCTTGCAAAAAACACTATAAAATGAAAATTCTTGTTCTTACTTGATCAAATTGCAAGAATCCCTTGCAAAAAATAAGGTAAAGTGGACATTCGTGCGCGCAAGACGAAATCCTTCCAAAACCTTAGGTTTCGTAACGATTTTAACATAAAAACATCAAAAACCCAATGGTTTTTTAAGAAAAAATTGTCAAAATGTCCTTCCGCGCGCGCTGTCCGAATCCCACAAAACCAATGGTTTTTCAACATTTATGTTACATGAGCTCGCGCGAGCTACTTTTTCTTGTTCTAACATAATCAAATTTCAATAATCCCTTGCAAAAAATAAGGTAAAGTGGACATTCGCGCGCGCAAGACGAAATCCTTCCAGAACCTTAGGTTTCGTAACGATTTCAACATAAAAACATCAAAAACCCAATGGTTTTTCAAAAAAAATGTCCAAATTTCATCCCGCGCGCGCTGTCCGACTCCCACAAAACCAATGGTTTTTCAACATTTATGTTACATGAGCTCGCGCGAGCTACTTTTTCTTGTTCTAACATAATCAAATTTCAATACTCCCTTGCAAAAAAAAGTAAAGTGGACATTCGCGCGCGCAAGACCAACAAAAAACACGACGATCTCAGGAACTTGCCCCAAAAATGTGACCAACTCCGCTCTCTCTGTCTCTCTCTCTGTCTGCTCTCTGTCTCTCTCTCTGTCTGTCTGTGTCATGTATTGTATGTCACAATTGCAGGATGCTGGGCACACGCGCGCCCCGAATAAGTGACCAAGTTCTGTGGGTGTGTACCCCACGCCAGTGTAGTAGCCACGGTCGTCCGCACGCCACGAAGTGAAGTGTCCCAACGTCATAGGGCGGGAGCTGGGTTTGGGTGTCGCGAAGTCGTTATATTTTAGAGCTTGAACTGCCCCCCACGAAGTGGGGGTATTGTCTCGCGTCGCATGAAAACCCTGGCACTGGTGAGAACACTGAGCGTTCGGGTAAAATGATTGTTGTTGTTGTTGTTGTTGTTGTTGTTGGCTCCCGCCTTAGACTTCCTTACAATTTAGCCAGGACCCCCGCTCCCGCCCGAGACTTCCTCGCATTTTATTCAGGAATCGCGCTCTCGCTTGGGACTTCCTTAATTTATTAAGGAATCGCTCTCCCGGCGCTCTGGAGTCGCGCTCTCGCTGGAGACTTGCTTGCAACTTACTGAAGACTGGCCTTGCGTTGGAATTTCCGGCAATTTGCCCAAGCGCCGCGCTCCCGACACCCAGGCACAAGGGAGTCACGCCCGTTGTGGCCTCATGTTCATACCCTTCGTGGTGCCACTGTCGCCATTTGTGTCCCCCTCACTGTCCTACGTGGCCCAGTTGCTACCCTCAGTTGCCCCATCGTTGCCTTCTGTGGCCCCGCATTATCTGCACTTCGTGGCCCCCGCTCGTTCGCGCTCTTCGTGGCCATACGCATTCCCTTCGTGTCCCCGCTGTCGCCCTTCGTGGCCTACTTCCTGCCCTTCGTGGCCCTGCTGTCGTTCTTCTCTCGCTTTCGCTTTCGCTCGTCGTCGCCGTCGTCGTCGACGTCGTCGTCGTCATCGTCGTGGTCTTCGTCGTCGTCGTCGTCGTCGTGGTCGGTCCCCTGTCCGTCCCTCTTGGGGTCGAGTCGACGGTCCGCGGCCGCCCCGCCGATCAGCGCTGCCGCTGGCCAAGCCGACGGTCCGCGGCCGCCCCGCCGCTTGCCGGGGCCCGGCCTGCAGGGAAGAAAGGTATACCCCTCAAAAGGGGTTCGATCGAAGACGAAGAGGGCGGGTATCGAGGGTTTGGGAAATACCCGTTATTGGACACTCGAGCATATAAGGGCGAACAGTATTAAACGTATTGTTGTTGTTGTTGGTTGTTGTTGTTTTTTTGTTGGTGTGCGTGTGTGTGTGTGTGCTGTTTTTTTAAAGCCGGGGGCCGGGGGCGCAATCTGAGCCACAAGATTTCGCTAGATTAGTCGAACAGGGTGCGAGCCTCAGGACACTTTGATGGGAAAAACAATTGGCACTGGGGGGTGTCAGCAACAGTTATTCTTTTGAAATGACATGTCTACAACTGTCCGAGCTCCGCGTGATTTTTGTTGGATCGGCGCTGGGCCCCCTGGCGCGCGCCAGAGAGGGGGTTCAGCGCAGATCCGAGACCTCTCCGCGCGGAGCTCTGAAAGTATATATATAATATATATATATATAATATTAATATATATATCTATCTGTAGTTTGTGCTTGTTCCTCCAAGGAGAAAGTGGCCAGTCTTGCTTGAAAGGTGAAAATGCCGGCAAGGACTGCTTCGGGCTGGTCTCTGATACCATCAAGAGCCTCCTGGCCGACGAAGGATCCAATCAGCCATACAACAGCGGCCTCTGCCAGCAGGCGCTGGATATAGTAATTCTCGAGTGTGCTGAGTGCGACAATTGCATTGTTTCCCCGTCCAGTCGCCTCGATGCCCTGCCCGAGGCTCAGGGGAGGAACAGGTACCTACACCGCTGTAGCCGCTCGTCCTGGAGATCCCTCGTCACCACAGCCGGATTCTCCTCGAACTTCAGGTCAGAACGCTCCCCGGGATAGGTCCAGGGAGCAGCAGCATCGATCGGTACCCTTCCGAGGCCTTACGGGGGGCCGCGGCGAGAACCCCCGTAGCGGCGGCGGCTGCCGCGGCTGCGGCGGCCGCTTCGCTCGCGGCGGCGCTGGCGGGGGCGGTTGTGTGGCGCGGCTGGCGCGCTGCTCCGGCATCCGCGCGCAGCGCGCTGGTGGCGGAGGGGCACGAGGACTTTGGTAGCCAATCATGGAAGCCTGGTATGCCCTGTCAATTCCGTGTTTAGCGTCGACTAGCGTCGATGAGCGCCCGGGCGTCGACGAGACAGCGCCGACTTAGCCTCGATTCAGCGTCGATTTGGCGTCGAGCAGCGTCGATTCAGCGTCGACTAGCGTCGATTCGCAAGAGCCGGCAAGATGGTATGGGCTGAGGACAGCACAACCCACCCCCACCCCCACCCAGGGCACCCACCTCCGACCTGGTGGTCCAGGGTGCCCTGGGTGGGGGTGGGTTGTCAGAGCCGCGGGGCCCAGAAACACACCCCCACCCCCACCCAGGGCACCCTGGATCACCAGGTCGGAGGTGGGTGCCCTGGGTGGGGGTGGGGGTGGGTTGTGCTGTCCTCATGGGAGGCTCCCAGAGTTGCCACCGAACAGGACGAGGATACCCCGATGGTGGAGGGCAGCAGCGCCGCAGCGCCGGCGCCCTGAGGCGGGGCGGCGCACGCCGCGCCCAGCAGGGTAGCCCTAGTTCGGTGGCATGGCCAAAGAGCAGTCATGCATTTTTGTCCTCCTCGGGGAGAGCTCAAGCAGTGATGTTGGCGTCGAACACTCTGCACCTGGAAAAATGCCCATGTCACAAAATGCCTTTTGGAGCTGGTGAACGTTTCAAACGGTCAGACGGAAAAGCGGACCATGTCGCCTGCGGTGCATTCGACATGGTCCGCCCCGCCATTTTGTCGAGCTCATGTCTGACTGTAACGCGTTCGAGCACGGTGCAGTGCTGGCGTGCTCCTCATCTGGCTTGCCGACGACCTCCTTGGCCTTATCTTTGATCGTCGATCTCAGCCCTCCTCCTCCTCAGTCCTCCTCCTCCTCCTCCTACACTGCTCCTCGGCATTTCTGCTCGAGCGAAGGCCTCACTACATATACCCGAGTTGCGCGGTTGTAGCCAGACAGGTCCCGCCAGGTCGGCCCGCGAGCACGATGGCTCTGTCCTCGAAGCTCCTTGCCAGCGCCGCAGTGCTCTACCTCGCCAGGGCGGCCTCGTCGCCCACCATCCCCGTCGGCGGCAGTTGTCTTATCAACCAGGAATGTCAAGCAGGAGCCGAAGCACAAGAACAGCAGCAATGCCAATCATTTTCAGACTGTTCCCTCCTGTCTGCTCGCGTGCCATTCCGCACGTATGCCCCAAACCCTCGGTGCCCGCCCTCTCCGTCTTCGGTGGTAACCCCCTCG